GAGCTCGATGACAGCCCTCCCTCCTCCCGGTGACCCACACGCGGGGACTGCGCTGGTGCGGGGTGGGAGGCCCTGAGGGCGCACTGGAGAACGGCCAGAGCCCGGCGTGAGGACAGTGGCGCCGTGCCTGCAGCCGGCTGCCGGGGCCCGCCGTGCCCTTGCATGCAGGCGTCTCATCGGGGCCTCCGGAGCCCAGGGCAGCGGGCGCTGGTGTGGCAGAGCGCTCTGGCCCCGCTCGGGGCCGCCCGCCCCGTTTCCGCGCCTCCCCGTGGGCGCGCGGGCTCCTCCCTGCTCTCCTCAGGCCTCGCCGTCGCCCCCACGCCGCCCCCACCGTGGGTCCCTTCCCAGCGGTCTGTGCGCGGCCTGACATCCCGTAGAGGAATTTGAAGTCACAGATAAATAAAATATCCAGACCGTCAGAGCCGATCAGAGCGTCGGTGCACCTAGAGCATGCTCTGTCCAGCCGCCGAGCGTCGGTGCATCTAGAGCATGCTCTGTCCAGCCGCCACGGCCCCCTTTCCCCGGATCTTGATGTCCCCCCACGCGCCCCTGTGACTGTGTCTGTTGCTGCTCTGGAGACAAGAAGTAAAACACAGGGAGGACCTGTGTTTTCGGGAGGCCTGGCGACGGGTGGGGTGCCAGGGAGAGGGAAGTGGGTGCGCCTGCAGATTTCCTGGGGCCCGTGGTCCGGCCTCACCCTCTCCTGTGCTTCCTCGTAGCTGGAGATGGAGCTGAAGATGCTGAAGTCCCAGGCAGGCCCGGCCGAGCAGAGCTTCCTGTTTTCCAGGGAGGAGGTGAGCTCGCTCAGGTACGTCTCGTCCCCAGGGCTGCCCCCGCCCCGGTGTCGTCTTCCCAAGTCACCTCCCATCCTCGCGGCTCACAGCCCCCCTGCCCTGTTGGGCCTTTGCTCAGCCACCTTCCTCGGGTGGTGCTGACAGCCAGGCCTCCCTCTGTCTCAGCAGGCGGCAGGCCACTCCTGTCCCGGCGCTGTCTGCAGGGACAAACCTACGGTCGTGCGTGTGTGACGACAGGCAGTGGGAAGTGCAGCAGGGGTGCCCGGGCAGGTCTGGGGGGGCTCCCGGGTGGGTGCCCGTGCGAAGGGCTGAGGGCGCATGGGAGGACGTGCTCGCCGGCGGCTGGGCCAGGCAGAGGCCAGACCTGCCGGCCCTGGTGAGGCTCGTGGCCGTGTTCCCGTGAGCAGCAGGAAGCCATCCAAGGTTTCAAAGCAGAGGAGTGACATCTGAGCCGGGTGGGGAGGCAGGAGGGGAGCTGCCAGCACCTGCTGAGCCTTGGCTGCGGGGTCAGCCTTCAAACTGTGGGCCGAGGGTCCTCCGGGCATCCCCTTCACAAGGCTTCCTGGTCCCCGCCGCACCGGGCGGCCTCCTGCCCCTGGCACCCCTTGCTCTGCTCCGCTCGCCGCCGTCCGTGTCTGAACGGTCAGCCCTGTCGTTCCTTGGGCCTCGGTTTCCCAGCATCGCATGCGGTGACTGCGGGGTCAGTGTCCTCCACACAGCTGAGGGCACCCTCGGCTTTCCCAGGAAGCCGCACGGGGTCCCCTGAGGACAGGTGTCCCGGGACGTGCGGCCCCACCGTCACCCCCTCACGGTCGGGAGGGCGACAGGGGCTCCAGGGGCCTCTCGAGTGAAAACGCAGGCAGCGCCCCCGCCTGGCCCTGCTCTCCTCTCACGGGTCCCGGAACACCTGCTCCTAAGGGGCCGGTGCAGAGGAAGGCCGTGAACCCGACGGCCTGCCGTCCGTCGCCCGCCCTTCGGCCTCCCCTGGAAGCCTGGCCGGCCAGGGGAGCCTGGGGCCCTGCCCACCGTGGGCGCCTGGGAGCCCATTCCTCCCGAGGATGGGGGTGAGGACAGGGTGGGCACGGCCGTGCCTTTGTCACGCGCACAGGTGGACCTGCCGTGCATAGGTTACGTGTGTGCTAAATACACGTATGTTATGTGTGTGATGCATTAAGTGTTTACGTGTGACATTTTAAAGCATCACTCTCTTAAGGAAGGAAACTGTGCGGAAAGTTCAGTAAAGATTTAAGTGGCAGCAGCTGAAGGGCTCTCTCAACTAGAGCAAGGCTGGGCTCTTGCTTCTGTGCTGGCGGCTCTGGGAGATCCCAAGTGCTGTCTGTGGGTTTAGCAGCTGCATAGACTTGCTCGTCCTGGAGACCGGCTCCTGCCTGTCCCGCCCTCCGGTGCCCTCACTGCCGCCTGGGGCCCCCCACCCCCCCACTCAGGCCCGTTCCAGTGCGCGGAGTCCCCCGCTTCAGGGGCTGGGGGGACCCTGGCCTTGGGGGCACTGGAGACGCCCCCTCCCCGCGAGGATGGCGCTGTGTGCTGGGCCCCGCCCCCTCCCCTTCCAGACTGCCAGGGGCTAGACTCCTGTTATTCTTCCTTTAGAAAACTTATTGAACAGATCCTTGCTGAGCACCCCTGCTCTGGGTCTCACACTGCCCTCGATCGGGAGAGAGCTCGATGACAGCCCTCCCTCCTCCCGGTGACCCACACGCGGGGACTGCGCTGGTGCGGGGTGGGAGGCCCTGAGGGCGCACTGGAGAACGGCCAGAGCCCGGCGTGAGGACAGTGGCGCCGTGCCTGCAGCCGGCTGCCGGGGCCCGCCGTGCCCTTGCATGCAGGCGTCTCATCGGGGCCTCCGGAGCCCAGGGCAGCGGGCGCTGGTGTGGCAGAGCGCTCTGGCCCCGCTCGGGGCCGCCCGCCCCGTTTCCGCGCCTCCCCGTGGGCGCGCGGGCTCCTCCCTGCTCTCCTCAGGCCTCGCCGTCGCCCCCACGCCGCCCCCACCGTGGGTCCCTTCCCAGCGGTCTGTGCGCGGCCTGACATCCCGTAGAGGAATTTGAAGTCACAGATAAATAAAATATGCAGACCGTCAGAGCCGATCAGAGCGTCGGTGCACCTAGAGCATGCTCTGTCCAGCCGCCGAGCGTCGGTGCACCTAGAGCATGCTCTGTCCAGCCGCCGAGCGTCGGTGCATCTAGAGCATGCTCTGTCCAGCCGCCACGGCCCCCTTTCCCCGGATCTTGATGTCCCCCCACGCGCCCCTGTGACTGTGTCTGTTGCTGCTCTGGAGACAAGAAGTAAAACACAGGGAGGACCTGTGTTTTCGGGAGGCCTGGCGACGGGTGGGGTGCCAGGGAGAGGGAAGTGGGTGCGCCTGCAGATTTCCTGGGGCCCGTGGTCCGGCCTCACCCTCTCCTGTGCTTCCTCGTAGCTGGAGATGGAGCTGAAGATGCTGAAGTCCCAGGCAGGCCCGGCCGAGCAGAGCTTCCTGTTTTCCAGGGAGGAGGTGAGCTCGCTCAGGTACGTCTCGTCCCCAGGGCTGCCCCCGCCCCGGTGTCGTCTTCCCAAGTCACCTCCCATCCTCGCGGCTCACAGCCCCCCTGCCCTGTTGGGCCTTTGCTCAGCCACCTTCCTCGGGTGGTGCTGACAGCCAGGCCTCCCTCTGTCTCAGCAGGCGGCAGGCCACTCCTGTCCCGGCGCTGTCTGCAGGGACAAACCTACGGTCGTGCGTGTGTGACGACAGGCAGTGGGAAGTGCAGCAGGGGTGCCCGGGCAGGTCTGGGGGGGCTCCCGGGTGGGTGCCCGTGCGAAGGGCTGAGGGCGCATGGGAGGACGTGCTCGCCGGCGGCTGGGCCAGGCAGAGGCCAGACCCGCCGGCCCTGGTGAGGCTCGTGGCCGTGTTCCCGTGAGCAGCAGGAAGCCATCCAAGGTTTCAAAGCAGAGGAGTGACATCTGAGCCGGGTGGGGAGGCAGGAGGGGAGCTGCCAGCACCTGCTGAGCCTTGGCTGCGGGGTCAGCCTTCAAACTGTGGGCCGAGGGTCCTCCGGGCATCCCCTTCACAAGGCTTCCTGGTCCCCGCCGCACCGGGCGGCCTCCTGCCCCTGGCACCCCTTGCTCTGCTCCGCTCGCCGCCGTCCGTGTCTGAACGGTCAGCCCTGTCGTTCCTTGGGCCTCGGTTTCCCAGCATCGCATGCGGTGACTGCGGGGTCAGTGTCCTCCACACAGCTGAGGGCACCCTCGGCTTTCCCAGGAAGCCGCACGGGGTCCCCTGAGGACAGGTGTCCCGGGACGTGCGGCCCCACCGTCACCCCCTCACGGTCGGGAGGGCGACAGGGGCTCCAGGGGCCTCTCGAGTGAAAACGCAGGCAGCGCCCCCGCCTGGCCCTGCTCTCCTCTCACGGGTCCCGGAACACCTGCTCCTAAGGGGCCGGTGCAGAGGAAGGCCGTGAACCCGACGGCCTGCCGTCCGTCGCCCGCCCTTCGGCCTCCCCTGGAAGCCTGGCCGGCCAGGGGAGCCTGGGGCCCTGCCCACCGTGGGCGCCTGGGAGCCCATTCCTCCCGAGGATGGGGGTGAGGACAGGGTGGGCACGGCCGTGCCTTTGTCACGCGCACAGGTGGACCTGCCGTGCATAGGTTACGTGTGTGCTAAATACACGTATGTTATGTGTGTGATGCATTAAGTGTTTACGTGTGACATTTTAAAGCATCACTCTCTTAAGGAAGGAAACTGTGCGGAAAGTTCAGTAAAGATTTAAGTGGCAGCAGCTGAAGGGCTCTCTCAACTAGAGCAAGGCTGGGCTCTTGCTTCTGTGCTGGCGGCTCTGGGAGATCCCAAGTGCTGTCTGTGGGTTTAGCAGCTGCATAGACTTGCTCGTCCTGGAGACCGGCTCCTGCCTGTCCCGCCCTCCGGTGCCCTCACTGCCGCCTGGGGCCCCCCACCCCCCCACTCAGGCCCGTTCCAGTGCGCGGAGTCCCCCGCTTCAGGGGCTGGGGGGACCCTGGCCTTGGGGGCACTGGAGACGCCCCCTCCCCGCGAGGATGGCGCTGTGTGCTGGGCCCCGCCCCCTCCCCTTCCAGACTGCCAGGGGCTAGACTCCTGTTATTCTTCCTTTAGAAAACTTATTGAACAGATCCTTGCTGAGCACCCCTGCTCTGGGTCTCACACTGCCCTCGATCGGGAGATGAGCCCCTGCCTCTGAGTGTCCGAGCATTCGGTTGGGTTCCGGGAGCGGGCACAGCCAGACACGGACGTGGCCACACGGTCACCCCCCGCGACCCAGGCCCTGAAGCCAAATGTGCCTCCGTGGACCTGGGCCTGGGCCTGTGGACCTCAGCGAGGGGTGCCCTTTGAAAGGCAGCCGCGGCCAGGGTGAGGCCCCCAGACCCTGGTGCTCCGGGCTGAGGGCAGCCCCCCGCTGCCCCTCCGCACCACGTGCGGCTCCATCAGGAAGCCCATTGGTTGGCCAGCAGGACCCCTCTGTCCGGGCTGCAGGCACGCCAGGAACCAAAGTTGGGCCCCTCCGCCCACCTGCTGCCCGGCTGCCAGCAGCCACGGTGTCCCCGCCTGGACTGTGCGGGGAGCCGGGGCCACGACCCCATCTCTCCACTCCTTGCACTGACCCTGCGGTGGGTGCGAGGGGCAGCCTCCCCACACTGGGCAGAGCCTCTGGGTCTGGGTCCTGGCCCGCCTCGTGCCTTCTCTCCGGGGGACTGAAGAGCCGTGTGCCGTCCGGCGTCCCGAAGTGTGACAGAGACGCGCTCTGGCGGCCCGGTCTGCGCCGCGTGCTCGACACCCGGTCGCCTTTCCTCTGGCCCCTCTCATCCCCACCTCTTGGGAGGCATCTGGAAGTGTTCGCTGCTCGTTCCTCTCTTCCTTTTCTGCTGCTGTTTTTCTCTGAAACTCCTACCTGCACGTTGACCTTTCTGAATTCTTTCCATCGTGAGAACACTTTTGATCCTACTTTCCATCTTTTGCTTCTACGTCCTGTAAAATTTTCTCAAATTTGTCAAC